GACTAGGCTACTCAGTAACTTAGTGAGACCCTGCCTCAAAATTTAAAAATGGGCTGGGGATATAGCTCAGTGCCAAGGGCCAATTACAGATCACTGTTAAGGTTCAATCCCCAGGACCATACAATTAATTAATTAAATTTAAATTAAATTTAAAAACAGAAGAGCTTTCAGCCAAACTTACTCCAATAACCTCTGTCCAAACTCTCAACAATGAAGGTCCCGAATGTTGGGAGCGGCTGAAGATGGAAAATAATTACATGCGCAAGACGAAGCCAGCCCAAGGACACGGGAGCTCCTCCAAGCACGTAAACAAGCCCTTGTAGCTTGTTAACTGACTTCTGGGCAGTGAGGTGGTAATTAACCAACCTTTCGAGGATACTTCTGTTCTTGGCCAGCTCCTCTTCTCCACTCAGGAGAGAGGACCTCCACCGACCCCAGCTTTTTGTCTCTTGTCTATTTTCCCTCATTCTCGCCGCTGTTCCTTCCCGGGGTACAGTAAGAGCCCAACAGATCCGTTCACCCGAAGGCGCATAGTCTGCTCCTCTTTCCCCATCAATATTCACTTCCTGAGTCATCTCACCCAGTGCCCTGGATTCACAACAGACTCCGAAGTCCAGAGCCATATTTCTCCACGCTTCCAGACACCAGGAAATTTCACTGGCTTTCCAAACTTAGCACATTAAGAATGGAAATTTTAACTTCCACCCTGCAGCCCAAACCCGCCTCTTCCTGGACTGACTCACCATCTCAGAACACAAGGTAACTCCCGAGTCTAAGAGTTGTCAGGCTCAACAATCCAGTCACCCGCAAGCGGCAGCTCGAAGGCCAGGCCGAGGCCAGGTCAGCAAAGGAAGAAGCTGCAGCCGGGCAATGCCATTGTAGGCTGAGAAAAACGGGGCCAATGAAACGCAACAGGAAATGGCTCAGTGCACGTCGTTATTTTCTCATGTGCTAAAGCCTTTCTTTCCCTGAACCTCAGCCCTGCTTCCACACAAAACACTTCTTGGGCCTGAGGGTCGCTACATATTCACAGGCCGTGGGAGTAGGTTGAGGTCCTTCCTGCTCTTTCCCAGGCCCCTGACACCGAAGGAGGGACCAGCACAATGCCTGCAAAAATAGGGTTGGGCCTAGGGCAGGCTGTCAGGACCATCCTAAAATATCTGGCACCTATGCACATAGAAAGCTGAGGCTCCGGGAGGTTACAATACCTCAGGAAAGCAGATTAGGTTAAGCATTGAGAGGTGTGGTCTCTGTACTTCCCACTTCACACCTCCTCACACGCAAGTCAAGAGTGCCTGGATTTCACGGTTAGCTGCATTACCGAACAGGGCTGCGACCACGAGGAATTTCTTCCTCTGGAAGGTGAGCAGCTACCCTAGAGAATCGCTGGGAAAATTAAATGAGAGGGGCAGAAAGGAAAGAGCACAGAGAACAATACCTCCACACCGACCACAGGGACACGGTGGGTCCAGGAGGGCTGTGTATCGGCCCACTGCTCCTCCAGACCTACCGAGGCTCCATCACTCAGCTACAGCCAGGCGCAGGGCGCTCCCTTGGCTGCACTCTTCCAGCCAGGATCCAGGAGGACTGCAGTCTTCTGCTGCCCCTTCAGGCCAACCGTGGCAGGCAGGCTGGCTCCTCACATACGCTGGTGAAGCACCTCAGCCATACCCACAGCTCTGCGCCTCAGAAAGCCAGGCATAGTGGTGCCTGTGATTCCAGCACTTGGGAGCCTGAGGCAGGAGGACTGCTGGGAGTTAAGAGACTAGCCTGGGATATACAGTGAGACCTTGTCTCAAAACAAAACAAAACAAAACACCAAAAACAGTCCCTGCTAAAACTATCCAGTTAAATGCACAGTGTGCCGACTGCTCCTGCAGATACAGAGTGGGGTCTGCACCCCAGGGGTCCTGCCTGCAGAGCTGCTCTTCACGGAGCGACCTGCTGGGTCCAAGTCCAGGCAGAGTGCTGAGGGAAGCAGGGATCAGTGGAGACTGTGTGGAGGAATTCACATGTGCATGCGTCGCTCCTGAAAGCCAGACTGGAGCTCCCTGGCCAGCAGTGAGAAAAGGACCCAGGGACCAGACGACAGCTTCCAATCCCCGAGGCAGGAGGAGGCGTCTTATTAACTAGCCAAGCAGTGGGTAGAGGGCTCAGGGAGAGTAGGGTGGCTGAGGATTCTACCCTGCTCCCCATGGGGAGTTATAACTAAAGAACTAGTGAGACTCCAAATGAGAGAACAGACGTACCTGCTCCCCACCTTTCCCTGACCTCAGCACAGAAGACCAGTTCTACACTGAACCTAACAAACGAGGTCACACATGCCACGCGGCCTCCCTGACCTTCTGCACCACACAGCGCCTCACGTGTGCACTGCAGTCACCCAGCCTCCAGGCCTCTGTGCTTCTGTGTGTTACGTGAGATACCCGTCTCCACCTTCCTCTTGATAAACTTTCATTTTGGTAGTGCGGGGTAGGGAACCCAGGGCCTCACATACTGCTAGGCAGGTGCTCTAACACTGGGCTACACCCCAGCCTTTTCTATTTTATCTGGAGGCAGACAGGGGCTTGCTAAATTGCCCAGGCTGGCCTTAACTTGCAATCCTCCTGCCTCAGCCTTCCAGGTAGCTGGGATTATACCACTGCACCTGGCTAATTAACTGTTTCTTATTGTTCAAGACTGGCCTCAGGTGTCTGCTCAGCTGTAAGCACTGCTGGCCTTCCGTGACGCTTCCTGGCATGCAAAACTCCACAGCGGTGCTCTCAGCACAGAACACATGCACTCTGCCTGTTTGCACACCCGCCAGCCACCAGGGCTCTGAGCGCGTGGAGACCAAGGCTAAAGTAACAGTGTAGAGGTACCTGCTCACCACTAGGGGGCAGGCTACTAGATCCAAATTCTAAATTCTGCCCCAAATAAGGGGTCACTCAGGCAAGTTACTCACCCTTTTGGGGCCTCAGTTTCATGATCCATGAAATGGCAATAATAACAACGTCCACCTCACAGGATGAAGTTAGTTATATGAAATAGTGCCTGTCACATACTAAACCCTCAATAACTGTTAGACATCTGTGTACTCCTTATTTTTTGTATAAAAAGCACATATTTGTTCAGCGAGCTTTAGCTGGTCATGGGCCACACCAGCATCTAAGTCCACACCAGGGGCTGTGCCGTGATACTGGATGAGCAGAAGTCTCCCCATGGCCTGGTGGCAGTGCAGATTCCGTGCCAGCTGGGCCAGCTGTGCTGTGTGGATTCACATCCCGGAGTGACCCTACCCCACAGCCAGTCATACAAGTAGCAGCTCACCATGATTACATTCAATATTGAGAGTAAACGACTCAGTTACTGGCTTATGTGCAGACTTACTCTTTAGATGAGAATTTTTTTTGATTCTTTTATTTTATTTTTATTCGATTACACTCACCTTGGGGAGTTGGTAAATGTACACATTTTAATTGTTTTTACTTTGCCTGTGCAATGCATTTTACTGTTATTTTGGAGCACACTCCTTCAACTTACTTTTGTTACAAGTAGAACAATTTGCTGTGTTATGCCCTGGCATGAGCCTCAGACTCATCACATTTACCAGGTCCCTTGACTGCACCATCTTTTCCTGATTTCATCTCATGTTGTTTTGTTCTTCCTGGCCTAGGGAGCAAGAAGTAATACCATACATATACACCACAGAGCCGGGGTGTAGCTGCTATAGCATGTGGCTTGTGTGAATATACTGTACACTTGCACAACTTGAAACCACCTAACAACACATCTCTTACAAGTGGCGAGTGATAAACACAACTTTTCTGTAAGGGGTCTCAGGGCCATGCCATTGCTACTGCCCGGTCCTTGCCTTTCTCATTCTCCCAGCCTTCGACAGTCTCCACATGTGCCTGCCACATGCTTACCCCTACAGAAGGGCAGCTCTGTTTTAATAATCTACAAAAACTTATTACCAAGTTAATTCTTGATGGCTCCCCTAACTGGCACAAGAAATAACATTATGCTTCAGCTGTGGTACTGTGCTCGCCTAGCGCATGTGAGGACCTGGGTTCAACCCCAGCACTGGGGGTGGGAGGGGGACCTCAACAAGAAATGACAGGAACAGGCTCCACACAATTCGGTGAGGAATCACACAGGTACCTTTTTTCAGACTAAAGCAATGCAAAATCACTGCAGTCCTGAAATACTTCTTAAATGTTTTACAATGGAATTTCCTAAGTCCCAAGTCCTTAACTGTCACAACCTTGGTTAATAAGTTCACGTGCCAGAACACCACCGCAAAAAATTCAGAGCACAGAGAGCAATGTGCTTAACAAGGGAGCAGGTGGCGGAGACCAGCTCCCCGCTGAGCCCCAGGTTTCCCAGAAAAGGCAACACTACAGCCGACAGAGACCCAGGCACTTGGCTAGGACAGACAATGTCGCTGCCATACCCGAAAGGTCACCCGAGAGCCCCACTGGAGTCCCCTGGGCTGGGTGCCCTGGAAAGCACAGACCTCCCTGCCCAAGAGCCTGCTGCAGGGGTTCAGCCACGAACACAGACCCCAGCCCCGTCCCTCTGCTTCTCCACCCTGACCCTCGCCAGCTCACCGCTGCTCAATGATCGCATTACCGCTGCCCCTTGGCTTCCTCGCTCCACGACTAGAGCCTCTTTCTCATCGCAGCTCCAGGATGCTGGAACGCACCAGTTTTTACAGATTTGCTCAGTGCCCAATGCTGACGACCCCCAGCACTTCCCAGGAGCCTACAGCCCTGGCTGATTCACGCCAGTACACGCTCATGCCACGACACCAACAGGGAAACTAAGGTACTTCATTTCTCTTTCCTTCTGCAACACTGGGACTCAAACCCAGGGCTGTGCACATGCTAGGCAAGAGCTCTTACCACTGAGCTACATCCCAGCAACTAACGTATTTCATCTGAAAAACCTCCTGAGCTAAGACACCAACTACGCCACTTGACAGTGTTGCAATACCCAACGAGAGGCAGTTTACTTACAGGCCTCCTGGTCGAAGCTCCTTGTACAGAGTGATAAAACTCCGGCTGGACACGGCTGCTTTTCTTGATCCTCCGCTTCCTCGCGGAAGCTTCCTGCTCACTCTGACGGTGCTCCTCCACCGCAGGCTTCACCTCTTCCAGGCGGGCAGCCGCGGCCGCAGCAATTCGTCTTCTGAGATGCCGAGGGCTGGCTCTGAATCCCTGCAGCAGAAACATACCGAACAAATCCAGATTTGTACTGAGTTAGTCTGGATGTTCTCTGACACTAGCTGTATAAACTCTCCTGAAGTCACAGTACTCAATGAGATCATTTACATCTGCAAAGGGAACTTGTAGGACACTCAACATACATGCAAGGTCTATTCACAAGTGCTCCGCAAAGCACCTCAGGGCTTCACGACCCAGAGTTATTCTACATTAAGAAATGTTCTTGGATGGTAAAAACGACAGGTTCTAAACCAGGAGGCTGAGGCAGGAGGATCCCAAGTTTGAGCCCAGCCTTGGCCACCTGGGCACCTAGTGACATCGTCTCAAAAGTTTAAAAACTAAAAAGGGCTGTGGATATAGCTCATTGTGAAAGCTTGGGTTCAGTCTAAGTACTGAAAAAACAAATTCTTAATACAGTGAAAAAGCTCTTAAATCAGGAATAAGACAAGGATGTCCACTCTCTCCACTCTTATTCAACATAGTTCTGGAAACCTTAGCCAGAACAATTAGATAAGAGAAAGAAATAAAGGAAATAATGACAGTAAAGGAAGAACTTAAATTATCATTATTTGTGGATGACATGATACTTTATGTAGAAGACCCCAAAAACTTCACTGAAAGACTGCTACATTTAATAAGCAAATTCAGCAGTGCAGCTGGACACAAAACCAACAATCAAAATCAATAACTTTCCTGTACACAAATAAAAAACCCACTGAGAGAGAAGTTAGGGAAATAATACCTTCTAAAATAGCATCCAAAAAAATGAAATACCTAGGAATCAATCTAACGAAGGATGCAAGAGACCTCTACATTGAAAACTACAGTACTCTGAAAAAGGAGATTGAAGAGAGTATCAGAAAATGGAAAGATATCCCATGCTCTTGGGTAAGAAGAACCAATAGAGTGAAAATGGCCATACTTCCAAAGCTGTTATACAGATTTAATGCAATTCCAATCAAAATTCCAACAGCATATCTTACCGGATTAGATAAAACAATCTTAAAATTCATTTGGAACCAGAAGAGACCCAGAATAGCAAAGGCAATTCTGGACCACAAAGACAAGGCAGGAAGCATCACAATCACTGACTTGAAATTAAACTACAAAGCTACTGTGATAAAAACAGCATGGAACTGGCAAAAAAAAAAAAAAAGAACAGACCTGAAGACCAATGGAACAGATTAGAAGATGCAGAAACAACTCGCGACATACTCAGTCACCGTATCTTTGACAAAGGTACCAAACACATTCACTGGAAGAAAGACAATTATGTTTAAGAAATGGTGCTGGGAAAACTGGCTTTATACATGCTGAAGATTAAAATTGAACTCATATCTTTCAACATGAACTGAACTAAATTTGAAATGGATCAAAGATCTAAATATTAAAACAGAAACATAAATCTATGGGAAGATAGACTCAATAAAACTCTTGAAGACATTGTTTTAGGCAAAGACTTAATGAATAAAACCCCAATCACACATGAATTATCACAAAGAACAACTATGATTCCATCTTATTAAAAAGCTATGGTATAGCAAGAGAAACCATCAACAGAGTCAAGAAACAACCTATAATCTGGAAAAAAATGTTTGCCAGCTGTTCCTCAGGCAAAACATTATTATGGAGAACATATAAAGAACTCAAAAAAATCAGATCTCCCAAATTTAGAGATACAATCCAAAAACAGGCATCTGAGGTGAAAACACACTTCTCAGATAAAGAAATACAAACAGCAAATAAATATATGAAAGAATGTTTAATATCACTGGTCATTTGAGAGATTCAAATTAAAATAACACTGAGAGTCCATCTCACCCCAGTAAGAATGGCTATCATCAAGAAATCAACTGACAACAAATGCTGGCAGGGCTGTGAGTAAAAGGGAACCCTTCTCTACCGTTTGTGAGAGTGTAGACTGGTTCAACTACTGTGGAAATCAGTGTGGAGATTCCTCAAAAAACGAGGATTAGAGGTCCCATTCAATCAAGTCATTCCCGTTCTGGGTATTTTTTGGAAGAATTGAACACATCATACCACAGTGATATATGTGCAGCCATGTTTTTTTTTTTTTCGTTGTTGTTTTTTTTTTATTTTAAAGAATAAAAGAAGGATAACATAATAATAGGGGGGACTTAGCAAATTACAGACAAAATGGTAGGAAATTATCAATGGTTACCGTTTTGCATATTATTATCTACAAAATAGTTTCTCAGGAAAACAAATAGACAAATAATAGTGAGTTAGAGACAAAAGAGGTAGGAGATTATCAAGAGTTGTTGTGCTATACTTTGGTATCTTCAAAGTGGCTTCTAAAGAAAATAAATAGAGCTATACATGAGTGACCTGTTGAAAAATCATTAACTATTCTCAATGGTTGTTGTAGGAAACACATAATAATAAACATACATCCATTTATGAAATAGGATAGGAACATTACAAACTTTACACAGTTATGGATAGATTAGTAGGAAAATATCAATGGCTGTGCAGCCATGTTTATAGCAGTGCAATTTGTTATAACTAAATCTTGGAAACAACCCAAATGCCCATCAACCAAGGAATAGATAAAAAAGATGTGGATTTTTTTATATGATGGAGTACTACTGGGCCATAAAAAAGGACAAACTGGAGGCTTGTATAGGGAAATGGATGCAACTCGAGTCCATACTCAGTGAAGTAAATCAGACTCATATGTGCAAGCATCGTATCGTCTCCCTAGTGTGAGAAGCTGAGAGAGTAAATAAGCTATTATAAATGTATATTAGTTCTGGAAATAATGTCATGTTAGCCTTCCAAAGTTTTTTCTTCCTTTTCAAAACTGTTTTAATGATTTCAGGTCTTCAAGTGTTTCACTTTAAAATGTTTCTTGCAATTTTTCATTTCTCTGTAATGTTTTCTAGTTTTCTATACATAGTTCTTGTAAATTTTGTGGTGAGGTTTATCACCATTTTATATTTTAATACTCTTGTAACCGCTGTGTCTTGTTTTCATTTGTCACCATGAAGTGGGAGTATAGTTGCTTTTCAAAGAACGTAAAAAAAACTTTAAAAATACAGTGAAAAAGAAAAATGGTGGGCACGCTGTTTTGTTCAAGTATCAAGCAGGCAGCGTGCAAAGACGAAATGGCCAAGGAGCTGGACAGACCTCCCCACAGGGTGAAGTTCCGCTCCGCATTTCCACCAGTGGACTCCTTCTGAAGCAAGGCAAGCAGAGGTGCAAAGCCTGAGATAACGCACCCTGGAGGGAAGAACCAAACCCTGGTGGAGGCGGGGCGGGGACCACACACAGCCGCAGCTCCGAGTGCTGACCTGTGAGCAGCACAATTTGCTAAACATTTCCGAGACCAGCTGTTCTAACCTGTAAGATCAACATTCTACTCACTGGGCCTTTACACTTTAAATTAGCTAATAAATGTAAAATTCCAAGCATGATATATGGAGAAAAAAACAACCAGGTGCTTCACATTTCCCTTCTGAGCGAGGACAACTCAGCAGACAAAGGGAAAAGTTCCGCTAAGCCACACTGTGTACATGCAAACGGCTTTGGATAACCTCTGTCCTCCTGGAACGTACAATTTACTGGGGAGCAAAGGAAGTTCACAAACACACAGGAGCGTGGGGTTAGGGGTGAGACGGGGCAGCTCGGGACTCAACGCCAGCAGGTCTCGGAATAGGAAGCTGTCAATGGAACAAGAGAGGCCCATCTGGGACTTAGTTGAGTGGGTGGCACTTGAAGAATGAATAGAATTTACGCTCCAGGCAAAGCAAACAACATAAGGACAAGTGAATGAGTAAGACAGCAGATGGATGGAGCGGACATCTACACAGCAACAAGAAACACTACTTGCAGATGTGCCCGGATGCGCGCACCCAGCAGTGGTGAAAATGAAGGCTCCAAGAAAGGGCTCGCGTTTGCAGGTCTCGTGAGTTTCAAAGGAAATGCAGCAAGGTTTCAGGGTTGCAGGAAGAGCGTGAGGAATGCGGAGTAAGGACTTCAGAGGGGGAGGCGGTGTGAGGAGGGGCCTGAGCAGGGCTCTGTGGGACGCTGGGAGATTCGTGTGCGCAGGGCTTCTGCCAGGGACTTGCGAGCTGGGCCAGCACCTCCCCCGGACCCGCCCCCGGCTAAGGAAGTCAAAGGGAACAGGAGTCAGGACAGAGGTGACAAAACCGAGGTCACTGCCGGGGTTCCGTCCTCCCATCTCCGAACGCATTAGCCTGCTTCCGCTCAAAATCGTCCCGAAGACCCACTCCCATGTCAGCCGGGAGGTGCCACAGCAGCTGCCAGGGAGGAGGAATAGGAAAACGAGCAGAACCAGCTGCAAAACCGGGTCCCGGGGCAGCGCCGGGAGCACACTGCCAGGACTGCGCCGGCTGCTGTCAGCCAGGCAGCCTCCGGACACCCCGGCTCACCCCAGGACCCCGCCTTCTGAGTTAGACCCGCGGGGGCTGGGCCCAGCTTGCTGCCCTTCGCAGCTGCGCCTCCAGGAGCTGAGTCCGGCCGCGAGGTGGCAGCAGCTGCCGCAGCCCGCCTCTGTCCAGATCAGGAACGTGCTTCGGGGCAGAACAAACACTTCCTGAGTGGTCAGTACTTCCTGTAGTGGAGTGAGCCAAGCACACATCTTTGGAAAGAATGTAGATTCTCCTCTTTCAGGTCCAAGTTTTGCTGTATTTGTATTATTACCAGTAGTCTACAAATATTTGCATATGACTAGTGACCTACAAATTCTAGGACTACTTAGAGGAGAAAACTGCATGAAGAAAAAAAAATTAAAACATGTTAGTCCTGCTATCCTGGAAAGCAATAACCCACTGAATCCGTATCCCTATTTCAACTCTCGGGAAATTCCACCAAGAGGTCCCCGACAGTCAATGAAGAATCGTTTATGATATTAAGACTGGGAAACGAATCAGACTCTCCTAAACTTCAACTTTCTTCCACATCTGCACACTGGGGGAGCCCGCTGTGATTTCTGTGCTATCCCAACGCAC